CTGTGGACTTAGTGCAAAAACGGAGAGAACCGGGGGAAACACCGACACGTCTCGCCGAACGAGGCCGGGCTGGAGCGCTCCCGAGGCGGACACGGCTCGCGGCGCGCCCCCCCCCCCCCCCCCGGGGTGTGGCCTGCCGATGCCGTCCATTGTCATGTCCGTGTTCATGGCGTAAGCGTCCAGGTCCTTGGCCAGGCATCGATAGGCGTTAGTGTAGGCAGTCTTCATTCATCTGTCCTTCAGTCCATCAGCTGAAGCGGAATTCTCTCTCCTTTCTTCTCCTCCGGGATGGGTCAGTGTCCGAGTCCCTCTGTCCCCGCTCTCTCCCACCGATGTGTCCCCGTCCTTCTCCAGCAGCCCCCCGGTTATCTTTGCGTCTCCTCCCCCGCCGTGCGCACATTAAAAAAAAGTCAAATAAGAATTAAAAACAAAACCAAATTTTCTCTTTTTTCCCTTTTTCTTTTTTTTTTACGTGGATGTTGCGGGCCTGTGCGGTGGCTCCCCCATATCCAGCTCCAGCCCTCTCCTCCTCCTGCGTTGCTCTGCTCCTCAGAGCGGAGCTGTCCACGGTCCCCTCCAGCGGACCTCAACCAACCCTGCTGCGGGAGGAGGAGTAGGAGTAGGAGGAGCGCCGTATGTAACTGACAGTCATATTAACCAATCACATAAGGGCTGCCTGGGTCTTAGCCAATCGGGAGACGGATGGAAGCAGAGGTGAAGAGTTTAAACGTTTCTGTTAAGTCGGTGGAAGTTTAGGTGACTTTAAAATGAGAAAATATAAATGAATAAAATTTATAAAACAACTCAATTCAAATATACAAAAAAAATAAAATAACAACATAAAATGAAATTATACGTTTTCACAATAATAAGGCACCGCAAAACAATGCAATCAACCATTTGTTCAAGATATTCATAAAATAGAACAATTAACAATGAAATCCAACACAAAAATCTGATGATATTGGTCAATTTAAAAAACGGCATTAATTATAGACTAAAAATATCCACGTAAAAAGTAATACTAATCCCAACCAAATTGGGAAATAAAAATCAACATTTTAGCTGCACTAATCCCAACCAAATTCCACTGGGAAATAAAAATCAACATTTTAGCTGAAATCGTCAATAAAATTCACTGAGGGTGAATCTTAGTAACGGAGGTTAAATGGCCAAATTCAATGACACAATAATATTTAAATGTACTATAAAAGGGATCAACAACTCTTGTCCTGTGATCTTCAATAAGTGAACTGGTTTAACAGAGTGATTGGTTTACAGGCTGACACAAACATCTCAAACAAACGTCAGCTTCCTGATGATACAAGCTCTGTGATGGGGGAGATAGAGAAGGAACCGAGTTCTTAAGATGCTATAGACTTCCCCTGATAACGACTTGACGAGGTCAGATCCTTCTTACCTGACTACAGTAATATCGCTTTCCTTATTGGGTGGGGGGGCGAGGGAGGTCATTTGGACACAGCCCCTACTTGGGTCCTGCTGTTTATTCAGGGCACTGGTACTTCATGTTTGTATATTTATGCATACATATACTGTATGTATGTATATGAATATGTATTTATGTATGTATGTATGTATGTATATATATATATACAGTATATACACACACATATATATATATATTTCCCTGATGGAAACATCGCAGAAGACTGACATGGAGGAGAAGGAAGGAAATACATTTTGGCTTTTATTTTATTTTTTTATTTTTTTTTATTTCATCGTGTGTAGGCAGTACTACAGTACAGATGGAGTCAGACTGGGAGTTCAGAGTGGACCGCCGTCTGTGTTGTGTGCAGCACACATGCATGCGTCGGCTGCAGCAGACTGAATGATGGGTTTGAGCGGGACATCAGGACGTCGGGTCGCTGTCGACAGTCTCCGGGGCTGGAGTGATGATGGTGAGAGCTGCAGTGAAAAAAGCATTACGGCCTGTAGCCTGTTCACTTTACAATTCATTACACTTCCAAGGACAAATGGCTGCTAAATAACTCTGTCTGCAGCACTGGCCCTGTCTCCCTTTCACTCACTGATCCATCATCGTAAAATAACAAGACTCAGAGACAACGGCACAAAACGAGGAGTCACTTATTTTAGATTTAATTACTCCTAATTACAAACACACACAAACAAAGACAGACGGTCCATGTTTATGAGCTTTCTGACAATGGCAGAGATTTTTCCTAAAGTGAAGAATGATCTTCCTCCTTCTCCTCCTCTTCCTCACAATAACAGTAGAATGGTCCCCGCCGTAGTTGTCTATGTTCCTGTACCGTCAGTTGAACAGCAGATTCCATGTTTTGTTTTTTAGATTGAAACATTGTAGCATCTAAGACTTTTTCCAAGCCACCAGGGGGTGCTTTCTAAAACAATAAAAACATAACCCCGTCAGCAAATATTAATAAACAGAACTCATTTTCTTTTAGCATTATTAATTTTTTTTCTTATTTTGACTTGTTCATTAATTTTCTTTTAGCATTTTTTTTTTTTTTTTCTTATTTTGACTTGTTCATTTACTGTTTTTGTATGTATGTATTTGTTGTTTATTTGATGGGAGAACCTCAGGTTCGAGGCTTGACACTAGTCACATCCTTGACAGTAGGGTGTTGTCACTGCTGTCGCTGCTTGTTCCACATAGAGGTGGAGGAGGCAGAGAAGACAGAAGCGGAGGAGGAGCAGGATGGGGAGCCAAGCAGATGTTGCTTTGTTTAAAAACTGTTGTAATTAAGGAGAGGAGAGCAGCGGCCAGAGAGGAATGACCTGTCCATCCATCCATCCTTCCATCCATCCATCCCTCCTTCCATCCATCATTTGTCTTTCTATCAATCCATTCATCCATCTATCATCCATCCATTTTTCATCCATCATCCATCCCTCCATCCATCCATCCATCCTTCCATCCATCATTTGTCTTTCTATCAATCCATTCATCCATCTATCATCCATCCATTTTTCATCCATCATCCATCCCTCCATCCATCCATCCATGCATCCATTTGTCTTTCTATCAATCCAACCATCCGTCCATCCATCTATCCCTCCTATCCATCATTAATTTTCCATCCATCCATCCATCCATTCATCCGTCCAACCATCCAGCCATCCATTCATTTGTCTTTCTATTTATTCACCCATCGATTAGGCCTTCAGACCATCCATCCATTCATCCATCTATCCGTCCATCCTTCTACTTGTGACAATGTTCTTGTTCGTCAGTGTAAAGACTTAATATAGAAATAAAAGTCATTTGTGTTAATTTCCAAATTTAAATGAATTAGTTTGAAGCCTTTTAAAAATGCACTGTGAAAATCTGTGTGTGTGTGTGTGTTGTTGCTGTATGTTATGTATATGTTAAATAAAAATGTTTTCCATTACTAATATTTTTAAAACCATAGTATTTTTCTCCACTCCTTCTCTCAGCCACAGGTTCTACTTTTGGTTTTGTGACAATGATGATGACAACACCAGAAAAGACGAAGGGAGTGAAGAGGAAGAGGAGTTGTAATGGAAGACCATCAAAGACTGAGATGGAAGAGTCTAAGAGCAGACAGGATGGACAGCAGCACTTTATGGCAGGAGTGAGGAGGAGATGAGGGGTGAGGGGCTGTAAAGGAGCATCTGCCGAGGGAGAAGGAGGAGGAAGAGGAAGAGGAGGAGGAGACAGAGGTAAGAGTTTGGAGTCAATGTGACAGTGTAAAAAAAACGTTGACTTTTCCAACAGTAAATGACCCAAATCTAGAAAAAAGAACTACTTCAAACAGTTTAAAAATAACCAGGCCCTGTTTATTGTCTATAACTCAAAATGAATAAAATCCTACTAACAACTTCATCTCCCATGGACCTTTGCACCAAGCTAAAATCAAGGCCATAAGGTCTACAAGAGGTCAACTGTCAACAGCTGCCGTAGAAGCTGAGAGACTGACAGACAGGAGATGAATCAATAAACACACAGACCCCCCCCCAACACACACATACTGTACACACACACGCACACACTGAGGCAGCAGCAAAAGAATTAATCAATAACAATTTTAATCTAACATAAATGAATTGTAACTGAATGTAATTATATTGGATTTCTGTTAAGAAAAAAAAAACTCCATGATTTTAATTAAAACAACTGAAAATAACAGTTTCTGTTGAAAGCCCCAGAAACTGGAAATGTGGTTCCCAAAAAAGGGGGCGTGTCCTCACCAGGGGCCGTGGAGCTAGAGCACAGCAAGAGAGATTCTTTTTTTTTTTTTTTTTTTTTTTTTTGATTGAATTTATTTAAAATACATTTCAGTGAAGTTTCAGGCCAGGAATAAATAAATATAAAATAATACAAAAACTACTGAAAATCTTTACTTTTCTCTATGGACTTTGGTATGGGAGACAAAGTGCATCAGAACCCGCTGAGCCTCACTGTACACAGACCTGAGTCCTGAGGATGACGAAGAACTTGTAGGTTGGGACCAGATTGTGGTTTGTTTGCAGACAGCAGTGAGTCAGCTAATGATTAGCCTGAAGCTAAACTCTGTACTGTGTCATGACACAGTGTTCAGGGTGAATCTGCACGATGTAAAATCAGGTGTGATAGTGGTGGGTGTATTTTCTCACGCCTGTAAACGACATATTTACACGGTCATTTGTAAAATGTGTGAAGTTGCTTGCATTTTCTATTAAGTACTAACTTTTTAGGGGTTGTCTCATACCAGATGTACAGCTAAAATGAATAATATAATGCTGAGGAGTCTAAATTTTAAATAACACAGTAAAGCCATTTTAACATTAATAAAAACGTTTTTGAATAATTAGATCTATTATATATATTATTATATATATATTTTTTTTTGGTTCAAATATTTAAAAAAAATTTAAAAAACTTGGACAGTAACTGCTGCTGCTAATGAACCCTGAGCAGCAGTCAGAACAGAAATACTTCTGCACAAAAACACTGACCGTTCGCTTGTGTGTGGTGAGCTGTGGGTCAATAGTACAGCAAGTATGTTATATAGCATGTACTATACCGTAGGAGTATGTAGCACACAATAAAGGCACAACATACTGTATTTACCAATATATAAAAGTGAGGTAGAAATGTAAATAAGCGAAATAAAATCGAGGTAAAACTACAGGTGAATGGAGGAAGCGTACCGTAATTTCCGGACTATTGAGCGCACCTGAATATAGGCCACACCCATTCAATTTAAAAAGAAAAAGATAATTGTACATATATTGGCCGCACTTCTCTATAAGCCACGGGTGTCCACGTTATAACATAGGATATTTACACAGAAAGATTTTTTTTTTATCAATTTTAATAAAATAAATGCTTTTTCCCGAACAGTTCCTGTAACGTGGCTGGTCACACGTTAGCTCTTTCCTGATTCGGCGCCCGGACCGGTAGTTGGAATGAACAGGGGAGACGTAGTGATCTGCTCCAGGAGGCAAGCTAACATTAGCTCCGGTTCATTGCTCCACGTTGTGCTTGTCCGCAGCAAAGGTAAACAGAAACAGGGACACAACACCACAACAGAACATAAACAAAGTTTTAACAGCTCCTGTATAACCAACTGACGCGTCAACGAGACAGGGTTCAAACTACTCTCAACTTTCGCTAACGTTCTTTCTCTTGCGTGCGTCCCACGTACACACACAGCTATTCACAGACACACATACGCTACTAGTATAACACACAGTAGCCTACCAGAAAAGGCACTGGTATCCAGCGGTATGAACTTCGTTAGCCCGTAAAAATCCATAAATTAGCTGCATCAGTGTTTAAGCCGCAGGGTTCAAAGAGTGTGGAACAAAGTTGCGACTTACGGTGCTTTAAATGACAAATATTGGAATATTAATGCATTGTCTGTAACAGTCTTTGTTAATGTTAAGACATACATTTTTAAAGGAGTTCATGTTTAAAAGGAGAAGTAAGGTTGGTTCAGAAATTGTCAAAATTCAGACCTGTCAAAAACAGGTCTGATGGCACCCTCTCTCTCTCTCTCTCTCTCTCAGACCATCTGCTGTGTATACAGCAGCAGCGGCAGCAGCAGTTATTGATCTGCAGCTTTGTGCTGCAGACCACATGCTAATCCACAGACAGCGTCAGTGACAAACACTGCTCCGCTTTGCCTCAGCAGAGCAGCAGCATCTGCCCCACTGACTCCTCTCTCTCTCCCTCTCTCTCCAAATGACCCAGCACTTTTTGAATGGAGGTCCATCTGTCTGTCCGACTGCTGTAAACTCTTCCTGCTGCTGCTCCTCCTCCTGCTCCTGCTCCTCGTTCTCCTCCTGGAGCCTCATGTTTCCCGGTAAATATTTGAGATTAAAGATTTAGTAATGTATTTAAAAGAAGTGAAACTTGAAGGGTTTTTTTTTTTAATCTGTGTGTGTAATGTTAACATGAGTTTAAACCTATATATAAAAGTAAACATAACATTTCTGGAATCAGAGCCTTAAAGGACGCAACATCATACATTTCTAGTGATTTACTTTTTTAGATATATAAATCTATTTATAATCTATGTATATGTTTTTTAATATAATTTTAAATAGTCGATAAAAGAAAATTGTATGTATGATATATAATAATCTATGTATAGTTTTTATATGTTTTTTAATACAATTTTAAATAGTCGATAAAAGAAAATTACCTAAAATTTCTCTGAATTGTATTATGTTATTTTTTTAAATTTTACAATAACTGTTTCAATGTTTTCCTTTATTTGATGACATTACTTCGTTTTCTGTGTTTACTGTAGAATTACTGACATGATATTATTTACTACAGTTACAATAAAAGGTTTTGTAGGTGATAAACATCTTATTCTATTCTACTTATAATGTAATTTAAGTCACATGTTTAATGATATTATACACATTAAGTATATAATATTTTAGTGAGTAATCTTTGTTCAAATGCATTAAAGACACATTATTATTTTAATGCATTAATTTGAAACGTTTGACATTTTATATATAATATTGGAAATGTTATTGTTTCCTTAATATTGTTAAGACATTTTTTGATATTTCATATATTGTGTGTATTATGAAATATTTAAATTGGAATTTACTAACAATTAAAAAAAGTATTAAAATATATAGTAAAATATATATCATATCTATTAACTATTTCTCTACTGATGTGTATTTAGGTTTCACATGTATGAATATATGTAATATTTTGTATACGTTTTAAATATATGAATATGTATTCAAATACAGAACATTTAGACACAGATAATTAATATTTCAAAATATGGAAATGCATATTTCCAATGACATAAACCAATGACAAATATGTGTATATAGGAATATGTAAACATCTAAAATAAATATATATAAATATATGTATGTATGTTTCTATAATACACAAATACATATAAACTATTGTGATTATTACAAATCATTCAAATGTTTTTCAGATTAATTTCTCTATTAATTCATGTACTTTATTTCTTTGCGTTTTATAGTACATTTTGGTAACATAAACCATAACACGGTGCCATTTTAAATGTATTATTTGCAAACAAATATATCCTAAATTTGTATTCATTATTTGATAATAATATTAACATAGTGATGGTTTTTATTTCAGCTATATGACAAAAACAGAAAACAAACTTTACATTTTGAACGCTAAGTTCAGCGTGGTTAACGTACGGAACTGTTTAGTAACAAATTGGACATGAATTCCATTCAATGGCTCTGAGTTTATGCTAACAAAAACACACACACACTTTAATCATTTTCTTTTTCTCCTCCTCCTCCTCCTCCTCCTTCATCTTTTCTCGTTCTGCTTTTATTCTCCACGAGTCCTTTCAAACTTCTCGGACCTGCTGCCTCCTTTGTGGTGGTTCTGTTGGCCGTGAAATCGGCCTTTAATGGAGACACAATGGCCGCGTGCAGGCCGGAGCTGCTGTATTCAAATGTGACCACACGCCATTATCAGAGCGTTGGCAGCTCCTTTGAATTGTCAGGGTCAGGTACAGGGAGGGAGCTGGTAGAGGTGATGACGTGAGGAAGAAGTGAGGAGGAAGAACAAGAAGAAGAGTGACGGATAGAGTGAGGAAGAAGAACAAGAAGAAGAGTGACGGATAGAGTATCTGGTGTGTTCAGGAGAGCAGATGGATGAAAAACAAAATCCTGGAATATCGGTAATTTCCAACAGTACCATAGTGAATCCATAGAGCTACGGAAATAGAGGCGAGATCAAATGGGTTTCAGAGTAATTATAGGTGAGTTAAAGGGCGGTACAGTGAGTACAGATATAAACCCAGAGGTGTTGCTGCAGACCAGTCATTTGTTACATACAGAAGAAGGAGGCGGCGCTTGTTCTTCCACATAGCTCTTTAATAGGGTTCTCTTTAGTTCTAATGTTTGATTTATTGATTTCTTTTACACAAGACCAACAGTAGAGTGACTGTAGGCTGCAGACTGGGGCTAAGGACTCTGTCAGACTGTTACACTTTTGATCAAAGAGGAAACGCAGAGGAGGATCAGGAGGAGGAGGAAAAAGAAAACATTAATATTTTATTTTTGAAGTATGGCTAGACTAAAAAAATGAGGTTTATTAGTGAAGCGGGTTCCTGTGCCTAATCTAGACCATGTGCATTTTTAATATGTTTTGTAATGTAAAAAAAAGACAAAATAAAAGGTAATACATTTGATAAAAGGTTTATTTTGTGGGAAAAAAACACAAACATCAAAAAATGTGTCATTTTTGTTTTAATTTCTAATTTGTTTATCACTTTTTGATATACTGATATAAATGTACTTGGGTTTTGCATAGTTCACAATGCATATGGTTCATTATATTAAAACAGGAAGTCATTATTAGAGTAAGTGTTGACCCTTTTCCTTGTTCTATTATATATTAAAAGTACATTTTAAGGTGGTCCCATGACAGACTTGATGGTGACAGAGAAGGTACATGATGCTAAAAAATAAAACGTACCAGAAATGCCTCAAAAGAAAAGTTTATGGCCCAAAACATGCTGCCAAGTGAATCATTTGCGCTTAAAACTTAAAAGAGTATTTTATCTGAGTATGTCAAAATGTCATCAAAAACAAGCAAGACTATAGTCTTACTATCACAAAAAATATTTAAAAAAAAAATCACATAAATGCCTCTTTTTGAAATATTCATATAAAATAC